CCACGTAGCCTAGTGCTACATGAAATATTCCTGATTACTTAATCCTATGTGTCCATACGGAGTACTGTCTCATTAGGTTGCAGTATTTAAATGAGTGCTCTACCTTTGAATCTCTATTTTCAGGTTTGCTATCCTGGACTTTGGTACCACCGAAAAGGCACAGAAAGCTATTTCAAAGAGATACGAACTAAACTCCCGCGTTCTGAAATTGGAGTGGGTGACACCGAAACACACAGTCGACTGAAATTCTGACACTTTCTGTATTTCCCTTTGTACATAAATTTTGTTAACGTATTCTATCGTTATCTTTCGCTCGTGTCATCTGGTGTATCGCAGTTGCCCTATGACAATTTCCTATTTAGGACTGGTACAAAATAGTTCCCGTTCTCTTTCCAAAACACTGCCTGAACTTAGCCTTGGTAAATGGCATATCATCGCCTTTAGAGGTAAACGAGCGCTTGCAGGCAGGCAAAGTACAACTTCGAGCCGACAGCACCGCAATGGTCAACGCCGAGTACATTGTCAGTGAGGCGCAGGTACCTATATCCATTCTTGTTAAATTGTCCATATTTAAAGTTCCGTTGTGAGACGGAGTCTACGCAATGGACTATATTGTCACCGGGAGTTACCGAGCTGGGCTAATAACTCGGCTCCAATCTCCCGTACATTTGTATCGTAGTTACCGAGACCACTCAGTGAGTGTGTTCTTTTCGCAGGTGGAAGCAGCAGCTGTGCAAGCGCTTGCAAATAGAGCTTCACGAAAACCTCAGGAAAGAAGCCCGTTTTCGTCTGAGTTTCTCGCCTGTTTGCATCCTCGTCACTCAATAAATGATGCTGTCGGCGTTTTTGGTGTTAATAAGGATACCAAGCACATCTTATTTGTCATCATTTCTATGGTAGAGGAGGAGATTGTGAGTCTTGACAACCTTTGTCAGTCTTTGTCAGCACAACCGGAAGAAATTACTCTCCTGTCCAATGTTGCTAATAAGCAAAAAATATGTGCGGCCTATGATATCTCTGTTGCCGAGATGGAAATGGCTTCAGATGAAAATCTTGGAATGCTGCCAAGTATTCTGACAAAGATGTCGGTTGGGATGTTGGTGCGTTAATTTATCTGCAAATAAATATTTTTGAATACATTATCAGAGTTTTCAACCTGTTGAATTGCTCAGTTCAAGAGCTCCAAAATCTATTTGGAGCGTCATAGCTGAGCTACATATATGCGGTTTTCGCTAGCGGAGAATGTAGATTTGTCCGTTAGAAATAAACCCAAAATAGGTGAATTTCAACTGTAAATGTTGCGCCATACGCGTTTCAGAGCCGCAATGCGTAGTACAATGATGTCGACGGGGACGGTTATACCCTCGTGTGCTGTGCTTTCTGTGCATTGGTTGTCCGGGTTTTGCGTGGTACTTAGGCTTCAATAAGCTCAAGACTATCACGGAAGTTTGGATATGATCATTTCCCAAGCTGACGTATAAGTGAATGCTACGGATACGTTGTCGGAGTTTTTATACTTGCTCAGTTAAAGAGCTCCGAATGCTATTTGGGGCGTCAAAGCTGAGCTACATATATGCGGTTTTCGCTAGCGGACAATGTGGATTTGCCCGTTAGAAACATACGCAAAATTAGATGATTGTCGGCTGGAGGTGTTTCGTAGTACGCGTTTCAGAGTCGAAATGCATAGTTCTGGGACCGCTTTTATATCTTGGCTGCGTGATAGTACTTGTCGTAGGATCTAAGGGGTATTTGAGACTTACAATGCCAAGGCTGTTACAGAGGTCTGCATATGACCTGTTGTTGGTAATTTAATTCCGAGACTAGAATTCATGTCGTAGCCGACAGTACTAGGATTGTGGTACAGCAGTAGCCTTGTGGTACTTTCCTACTTAGGACCGTTAAGAATTAGTTGTATTTCTGTAACACTGTCTGAACTTAGCACATTCTCGCCTTTGAAGATAAACGAGCGCTTATAGACAAGAGAGTCACAATTTTGCGCTGAAACCGTCAAAGTCAACGCTGGCTGTTGTCGGTTACGCGCAGCTACCATGTTCATGAGATCTCGTCTATGGTTAAAGTTAAAGTTCTATTGAGACCGAGCCTACGCAATGGACTCCACTGTGGTTGAGATGAGCGGAAATCTGGGCTCTATTATCCCGCACATTTATATCGTCTAGATGAGAACCCTAAAATGCAGTCAAGTATCTTGAAAAAATATCGGTCGGTTTGTTGGTGGGTTGGTTTATGTGTTGATGAATGTTGCGGGGTCAGCGTTTTTACACTTGCTCAGTTCAAGAGCTCCAA